TTCCCCCCCCCCCCCTCCCATCTAGGGTTCTGTCAGAAGTGATGGTAGTAAATAGTGCAGTGTAATGTACGCAAGAACTGCTACCACCCTCCAGGTTCAATTATCTTTCATTGCTTTCTTCACCATAAACTTGAATTGAAAGGGGAAAGGGAAGAAGCCCATGTTCTGCACCGAAAAACTTGTTCTCGTGCAAATGGTATTACAGTATACAAGGTGGTCACAGTTATTTGCAAGAGCTGTTGTTTCTAGGACGAAAATGTGGTGATCGATCTTGTCACTGGTGACACGAAACTGATCGATTTCGGTGCAGCCACCGTACTCAAGAAGTCACACTACACTGACTTTCAAGGTAAGACACGCCTTTGAATTTCACTTTACTGTTCATCTGTCAAAATTGAACGGCAAAAAAGGTTCGCACGTGGTCGTGGTAAGCACTCCGGAATGCGAAGCATATTTGGTTTATGCACGTAATGACGGCGACTTTGAAGGACTCCATGAACCCGTCGATTTTCATGCCAGATAGTTTTCCATCTCACGATCAGATGAGCCCCAAGTGACTTGACTGAGAGAAGTGTGTATGGGCAGAAGGCCATTGCCAGGTTGTGTTTGTGGGAAAGTGCCTATCNCGTGGTAAACACTCCGGAATGCGAAGCATATTTGGCTCATGCACGTAATGACGGCGACTTTGAAGGACTCTATGAACCCGTCGATTTTCATGCCAGATAGTTTTCCCTCTCACGATCAGATGAGCCCCAAGTGACTTGACTGAGAAAAGGGTCTGTATGGGCAGAAGGCCATTGCCAGGTTGTGTTTGTGGGAAAGTGCCTATCAAAACTGCTCATCAGTTTTGTTGTCGTAGGAAGCAGGTTCATAACTAGTCAAAGTCATTCCATCCAGGGAATTCCCTAGGACTGGCTCGATCTAAACAATGGGGCAGTTTTCTGATTCATACTGGGTTTTCGATGGGTCTACACCTAGAGGAGGAAGAATAGGAAGGAAAGTCCATATTTCAAGACGATTGAAAGAGGAACTTTTCCTTCTTCCCTTTTCAAAACTGGTAAACCTTGGAAAGGAAACGAATTCAAGTATGTGATCATTAGAGTCAAAATAAAACGCTCAAATGGTCACCTACACGACCCTGTAAGTATTTGTAAAGATCCACAGCAATTTCCAGTTTCTTTTCGACAAGGGAAGGGGTTGGATGCATGGCGCATCCAGAAAAAGGCAACCAGTTGACGCGCATTTCTCACGTTTTCATTGTTTTTTCATTCAGTAAAGCAACATTCTTACGGGTGTTTATTTATCAAACTTCTGATAAACAAATGGCAATCATTCTCTTGAGAACTAGAAAAAACGCCTGCGTCACAGTCTACTGCGTTCATTATAAATCATATCCTTGCCCAAGTGATAGCGTAGAATTTCAAAGAACCGTTTTTTACCCCACCCCCTCTACCAACACTTTCGCGTTTCGTCGACATGGACGTAATTTCCCATTTGATCGATTTTTCATTTTCTCATGAACTTCTTTGTATTTGGGATGATGGGCGTGACTTGTAGGTAAGGGATCGTAACTCGGCAGAATTGAAATAAAGAAGATCAGGTTTTTAGAATCCATGAGGAAAATGCGTGCGCACATTATGAATAAACAGGACTTTTGTAGAGGAGTAATGTCCCGGTCGAAACAGAGTCCGAAAGAGTCCCATAAGAAAAAACTAGACTTGTTCCAAGAAAATTGAGCTGGACTTTGCAGACCAGAGTAAGGATTGTCAATTCCATTTGTGCTGTGACAGTAAAAGTTATTACTGAAGCCCTACTACCGGGCCAAAGAGTAGTGACTATTGTGCCCTTGAAATAGTTACTATGAATTTAAGGGGGAACTGAACACTTGACTCACTACGGTGAATCAGAAGTGGGCCTAAANTCCTCGAGTCCAACACCGTTGAGAAGAAAGACCGTTGGTGTTTTTGGCGCTCCGTGCTTCTCCCATTCATGACCATCCAGGTAACTACCAAAGTTTCTTGGAGAAGCAATTTCACCTATATTTGTAGTTCACTTTTCCTTCTGGAGCTGATTATTGGTTCTCTAAGCGCCCGTGTTCAAAAAGTTTCCGACCTTGAGATCGTGCATCCGTCGTCGTTCGGTGAACGCTACCCGATTAATGAATGTTGAACTGGCACGTGGGTACAAACCTACGTATCTCTCTGAAAGACTCGAAGGGGTGAAATTAGGGACTTAAAACTGCAAAATAAAATGCTGAAGTACCCAAAAAGGTTCGATGAAAAGATTTTTTCCTACCGGCCACCTAGTTTATGGTAACTTCTTTCAGGTACCCGTCTATACTGCCCTCCAGAGTGGTTCCTGCACTCATTGTACCTCGGACGTGAAGCAGCCGTTTGGTCNTAGGGACTTAAAACTGCAAAATAAAATGCTGAAGAACCCGAAAAAGTTCGACGAGAAGATTTTCCCCAACCGATCACTTACTTCATTGAAATTCTTTCAGGTACCCGTCTATACTGCCCTCCAGAGTGGTTCCTGCACTCATTGTACCTCGGACGTGAAGCAGCCGTTTGGTCATTAGGAGTGCTATTGTACAATGCCCTAAACGGTCGATTACCTTTCCGAAATGAAAAGGACATCTGTACTGCTCATCTACTTGGGCCGCTCCCATTCTTCACCACCGTGTCTCCAGGTAAGGCACAGCCTTTTGTAGATTCTGGTTGATCTCACAGATGAGCACTGATCATGGACAATCGCACTTTGTTGGGCTAGTGATTGATGGACCTGCGATAGCAACATTGTCAAAAGTAGTAAAACAAAGAACTTTGACGAGTTGATCGGTTTGCAACGGGGAAACCAAAGAAATCTTTTCGGATGGTTTTTCTAGAACTCCATAATTTCTGATGACATGGCCGGTCATTCTCTGATGCCCCGGAAAAAGAATTTTGATGGCCATCGTATGCCCTGCAATACCGGTTTGCCCCTGTTCGTGTCCCCTAATGGAATGCAGTCTAAGAATGACATGGATTGATTGAGGAGCCGTTGTATGTCTTTAATGGCTACTCGTTTTCCAGTTACCAGTATGGTTTTCTCAATTGCTTACAGAGGTGGATCGAAGGTTCTTTTGAGCGAAGTTTGAGTGACGTGTCATACGGAATACTGCCTGGTTGTTTAGGCAGCAACACTTGGGCATTAGGTAGGCAGGCGTAGGCATTGGGTGTTACCAGCTTCTATATTGCTGTAGAATCGCCCCCTCCCCCTCCTCGACCTTCCACTGGTCCCATTTTTTGTTTTGTGATGAGCTCTGAAGATAGAATTTGCTACCTCTCCCTAAGCTACAGCTCCATTATGTGGGAAAAGCCGGCAGCTTCCCCAAAATCATTTCGAACATGTCCATAATGGGGTATCTGACCCCCTAAAAATCCTATCTGCGTCTTGAATGTTCCATCTTCGGGGACACATTGGATCCTTTCTGTTACTCCTGCTTCCCAAGGGTTCATAGAAGGTGCAAGTGCCAGATGAACATCCAAGAGCCCAATGACCGCCTTATTCCGAGACAACTAGACGGTCAAAGGAGTCCGAGTTGTAGGGAGTGGAGCACTATTAAGTTTGGAATCATTCGAGACCATCACTGTGCCATCATGGAGCCTTGAATTCACCTTACTGTAATTAAATACACGGATTACTGTATCCAGGAGGTGGTTGATGCCCAAATTACTCAACACTGAGCCAGTTTTGTTGATTGCCTATCATGGGTAGCAACCCGGGCATAGTTTTCTTTGGCGAGTAGAATTGGTGCTGATGTTCGGTGCCGAGTTCATAGTGTTCAGTTCAAATCAATCAAAATGCTTTTTCTTTCAACCGGTTCACCATCTGGCTGTTCTATGAACCGTTTCTTTTGAATCCTTCGCTCAAATGACCTTTAAAAGTACACCAAACTACCAACTTTTTCTTCTACATTGCTGCAATCAAATAGTGTCCGCCTAGACATAACGCTTGGGAATGGAGACACAAAGACCTGTGGTTACGCCGCGCTTCGATTACGGTAGCTGCGGCACCTACGTAGTTGACCAAGAAAGATCAAAGTCGTCAACCAGTTACTCTAGATTCCCGTTCGCTCACGCGTCTGCACCCATGGGTACACTACGCTCCCTATGTGTTTCACCACCAGCGTCTACTTGCCAGCAGGGGTCCCTGCTGAAGAACCTGGACTGTCTGGGGTCTCCCTATGGAAGGCACCGGGTTGGCGCTGACGCTGGGCCACATTTAAAGATGCTATGCCGAAGATGTAGTGCGGGACCTCCCAGAACACTCCCACTTGTCCTTGTGCATAGTGGATACCTCCCTATGAACATATTAGAACCCAGGTTGGCCGACTTCGTGAATTATGAAAACGTTTCCGTCAAAAAAGCATGGTTGTCCATGAAAAGTCTATCTGTTTTACGGTAACATGTGAAAGTGTGCAGTAGACTTTAGCTTACGATACGATTTCAGAAGCGAAGGACCTTATCGCTCGATGCCTTCAATTTGACCCATTCTCACGATGTACTATCGAAGATATTCTTCGACATCCATGGGTAACGAAACCAACCGCCGACTGGCTGACTCTGAGCGCTGCTGCAGGCGAAGCCATCAATGAGAAGGAAGCGAAAGACGACGAGCGAGGTGAGTCAAGCTCCCGTAGGAGCTCCTCCTGCTTCGAATGGAACAGCTCTTACTCAAATGCATGATTTTCAGAGCACAGTGAAGAATTGGAAGAAATCGGCGAGGAGGTCGAACATGAAGAGGTTGAGAATCATGATGACGAAGAAGGTGACCAAACTAGCGAAGACGAATCCGGTGTCGGTTCCTTGGCATCCACATCCACCGGAAAGCCGGTAAGTGAGATACGGTATCCGTACAAGAGTATAAACGCAACTAAAGACATAACAAACTCACTGCCGTTATTCCAGAATCACCAAGACGAACAACCAAGAGCACCTGTTCGTTTCTCGAAAACGTCTCTCCTGGCTCCTCCAAATTCCGATGATCTCAAAGCTGTCGTTCAAGCATCCAAGACAACATCCGTCTACCATGATGGTCCCAAACCAATTCGGCCGTCCCGAAGACGTGTCCCACCCCCCAGCACAGCCGTTCTGGCAGCTCTACGACGTGCTGTAAGCCGCGACCGACAAATACGTAACTGAATGGTAGGCCGATATCTAGACGGCCATCTAGTCGTGGAGCTTCCAGTTGTTGTCAATAATCGTTACTCCCCCAGACCCGCGACTAATGGTCGTTAGTGCATATGATGTACAGTTAATAAGATGCCCTATATTTATTTTGTTGTCCATATATTTGGAATGGCGCATCACGTAGGCACGCGTACGCGTTGCGTACGCTGTGCAAGCGAGCGCAATCCGCCGCTCGCTGCTTCATCGACTTAAGCCTTGCGCGCTGTTGCGCGCGGCTTATCAATTCCTGGGTTTATACTAACACTTTCCTTGTGTCGCTTTACACATATCATTTCTCTGAAATCATGACCGCATCGTTTCTTTGCCCTCTACGTTCAGTGGGTCCTAAAACGAAAAAGCATGCTGCTTACTGTGATAACGGTGAACGGTCGCTTTGTATTCATGCATGCGTCTTCATCTATTTGTTGTTTTTATAAAAGTTGAATGATTTTGTTNTGCTTCATCGACTTAAGCCTTGCGCGCTGTTGCGCGCGGCTTATCAATTCCTGGGTTTATACTAACACTTTCCTTGTGTCGCTTTACACATATCATTTCTCTGAAATCATGACCGCATCGTTTCTACACACTCTGCACATTGAGTGGGTCCTAAAACGAAACAGGCGTGCGTACTGTGATAACGGTGAACGGTCGCTTTGTATTCATGCATGCGTCTTCATCTATTTGTTGTTTTTATAAAAGTTGAATGATTTTGTTATTGCCATTCTTGTGTGTACAGTTTTTCGCTACAGTTTTACTCGTTGACTGTTGAAGATAGAATTTGTCACCATGAATTTATCAAAATAACCGATGATATGTACATAATAAACTTACCTATCATTATGGTCCTATGTTTATAGATAATTGTAAAAAACAGAACACGCGCTGACTCCGTCATGGATCGTAATTCGATTAATGTCACAGCATTAACAAAAGTTGACTACCGAACGCGGTTGGAATGTGAGCTAGGGATCGTTGGGAATTTGGCATTCCATCACCTTCCTATACCGCTCGGATCGGTTCAAATTGACTGGGCTGAATGCCAGTTGGAGATGGGTCGTTAAATCAAGGAACATAGAGGATGGTATTACAGAATCCAGGGCATAAAAGTAGGATGCGCCTCGGTTTCAACTGCCAAGAGCGGGCTTTAAGCAGTACTTGGTAAAGGCCCATAGACGATAGGAAGACAGCAGGTTTGTCCTTTAGTGGGAGAACTCGTCATAGTAAGTAGTGTCCTGACAGCAAGTGGGAAGGGGGAGAAGGACCCTCTACATGAAATGGGTACCTTTGCTTCGGGTAAACCACTGAATTCGTGGTCATTCCACAGAAGAAGTCAGTCTACAGGTAGTCAGTCATTGACAGCCAATGTCACAAGCCAACCTCTGAAGGTCTTGAAGGTAAGGTCAGCATGCTGATTTAAGTAGTGAATGTGGAATGTGCTATTACAATTGACTGTAGGGCGTTTACGATGACTTCAATAATAGCCCATTACCCACAATGCCTCCTTCATTCGGCTGGTTTCGCAGGTAAAAATAGCCTTTGACATAACAACGAAGGTGAAATAGAAACAAACGTTCTTCTAGAAACCGCATCCGTGTTCCCTAGGCCTTATGCTTACCCATAATAAACCCTGAACACCATCCTTTGCAGTGGAAGGTGGGGGCCAAGAACGGGGGAAACTCGAACTTCTGCCTCTCTACGAGCTTTTTAACTACTCCGCTGTGGAGCTCCTGCAAAAGACGAACTGCTAGGAGTTGAGTCATTTGTTCACGGTGGGTGATTCTTTATGGGTGTAATGAAGGCAAGAGGGTTTTTACTCAGCTAATGCTAGCCCCAAAGTGGACACAAATTGAAGATGCCAGCTACTAGTTTTCGCTCACCAAGACGAAACATCATTAACTGTGTGAATATCAAATAACGAAGAGCTCAGTGGGAATGGGTGACGTTCAGATCTTTAAAATGCGGCATTGCAATGCGTTTTAATTGCAGACATGAATACCAGTTTACTCGCTCCCTTGCCCATTTCTCCTCCAATGGTCATTAGATTCTTCTAAAAATGAAGGGGTCAACATTGTCATGAGTATCATTTCTATCAAAATTCGTTTTACTTTTCCACTATTCACAATTGAAAGGCACTGATGGAACTTGAAGAGATCTCAGGACCCAATTATGAATGCCCTCCAACAATCGTTAATCTACTCAGGAGATTTCGATGGGTGTTCTTTGATATAAAAGAAACTTCTAAGCGGTAACCCCTGTTCAGTCTAAAATGTGAAAAATTCCACTTCACCGAATTACGGTAGTTATTATGGGCACTAGATATTTTATAGAGTTGTCAATTTGTCGTGCTCGAAGCCTTTCCTAGTTCTCAGTTTGCATTACGGTATCGAGGAAGGGTATTGTTGAAGAATAATCTATGATTGCGGAATTATGCACCCGATCGCGAGCTGCCCGGTGCAATACCACCTTTGAACTCATGATCTTCGAAAAATTGACGATTTTCCTCTCGGTTAATCCTTCGCGACTGCCGTAACGTCTATAGATCGGCTCTAAAGCGGTGAAATGAAAAATTCACATGCCAGTGATATTCACTCTGTTATCGCGGAAATTATTTTGGAGGGGTTACAGTGATTTAGTGGTTCTCAAGATGAAGCTAGCGGTTTGCTGGATTAATTCCGGCCCCTTTCAAAATTGCTGAATTCAGCGCATAGTAGTAAACTCACTATTATTTGGGAAGTAACATTCTATCACATAGAATGAAGTTGTGACGGTATTACTGTCATACAGGCGGAGTAGGTGTAGTGAAAAGTGACACATCATCTTGCACACACCTGGTGCATCGAATTCTGGATGGGTATTGAGCCACGTCCGCCATGTCTTCAGTACTCGGAGGTTGGTTAATTGGTACTAGATCCGTCTGTTAGGATGAAATCACTGTCGTGTACATCGGCTGGCCATTGCAAGTCATTGTATAGGCTACATACGGCATTCAAGATGCCACTAGGATTCTAAACGAAAGTCGAATACAGGGCGCATCCTTATATAGCCTAGGTCAGTGTTAAAAGCCGCATCATTTCATTATTTATGATGAGGCCCACTCAGACAGCGTTGAATTCAGAAAGAAAGAATATACGCTCAACAACCTTAATTTTGCTACAACTTCCTTGGTAGCCTATTCAAATGGGTGCCTTTCATGACTGGTTCTTCCAAATTACACCATATCTTCTATAGATACTGCAGATTTTTGATTAAATAATTCGATCAACCTATTTCTACTCAAACTGACCCTAATAGCAAGAGGGAGATCGAAGACCAAGCGTTGCAGTCACAGCGAAAAACATGATAATCTAATTTATCGGGCTCAATTTCGATAGTCTACCAAAGCAGGAATCCATTTTGGGAACTCGAAACAAACATTCAATTATAGTCGTTGTTTTTGGAAACCACCATACTTTAGAAGATACTACTTAGTCTGGAGGGAGAACAACTCCCAGTAACTCCTAGTGGAAGAACGGTTTTAACCACAGGAAGTGGTTATTCAAAAGTTTCGGGGCCCTATGTTCTTTCTTGAGTTTTGACGCGACACATAGCTGGACATTTTCGACAGATTTCATTAAAAAGATTACTTAGAAAGACTCTAACATACTCATTTTTGTAGAATCTCTAAATCTAATGCCGTCATTTTCAAATGAATTAAATGAATTTGTCACCAGTCGTATAAAAACACCCAGGCCGTATTAATAGGACGAGATGATCCAATTATTGGCACTAGTGTTTTTAGTGGTGAATGGAAGAGACGGTCCCTAATAAGGGCATTGGGTGTTGAAATGACGTCGCTCATGAAAACAACGTGGCGACGCCAAAGCTGTAAACATAAAGGAAAGAACGAGAGCACTGGTCGTATGGAGCGATGA